TCCCTTCACTACTTGCCCTTCATGCTGCCATCTCCTGCGTCCTGTTTCCCCTCCCCGCCCCCCAAACATATATACTTTTGGGCCCCAGCATCTGCCTCCTGGCACCTGCCTCTCATGCCCTTTTTCCCTTCCCCATGGCTGCACTCCATGGAGCTTTCTCCTCCGCCTGCCCCCCTTTTTCCCTGTGCCCCATTGCCTTTGCCACCACATACCTTCCAACTCCAGCCCAGCTCCAGTACAATTCCAGCCTGGGGCACAGAGCGCACGGTTGTTCCAGTCCCAGCCTGCCACTTAACTGCTGCCACTGCAACAACAGCTCTGTCCTGGCCCTGGAGCTGGAGCCCAGACTGGAGCTGCTGCCACCACTACTATAGCTACCAGGCCAGTCTGGGGAAGGAACAAGTACGTGCTCCATGACCTGGGCTGGAGTGGGGCTGGAGGAGGAGGAAAAGGAGCCGGGGATGGAGTGGAGCAGAGGCAGTGGGAGGGAGAGAAGGGGAGGGATGGGTAGCAGCTGCAGCTCCAGTTCTGACCCTGGCCCTGTGTTGGGGCCAGAGATGGAGCTAATGCAGTTGACCGCCCTCCTGCCTCCTTGTACTCAAATCCGAGACACGGGCCTTTTTTTTCCCCCCTGTTAAATGTGGCGGTGAACCTCGTCTTGGATGCAAATATATATGGGATTGGATGACTTTGTGGTCAAACTCTTTGCTTCTCCTTCAATTTGGAGTGCTTATTGATCGCCAGCTGCCAGTGGTTAAGTCCAACTAAGTTTAATGGCTTTTCTAGCTGGAGTGAGTCTGCAGTTTAGCGCTGCTTCCCTGACAAGTTAAAAGCAGTGCTTCCCATATTAGCAACTTACTAATTTTTATTCTTAATGCACTGTAAATCTTGCTACTCATGTAGGAGTTCTTAGCTCATAAATCATGAATTGATCTGAAGTACAGTCAGAAAGAAGAGATTCACTAACATGTTGCATAGTTTCCTTAATAAGCCCCACTTGTCCTAGGCAACTGAAACAAAAATATAGAAAGCATTATTCTGTTTGAGTATATTTATACACTGGTGGCAGCTGTTCTGCCTTCTGAATCAGTACCTCATTTGTCTTACGTTTTATGCATTTTGGAATTACCAGATGAGTAAAAGTAGGTTTCTCTTGGATGCAGAGAATATCTAGGATCAAATTATTTTGGTGTTAAACTCTTCTGTTGCATTCTGTTATAGATAGGGCCTGGTTTAAATTGTAATTTTGCATTTCCCGTGAAATTAATTTTAAGTAATTTTCATTTTTCGTGAAAAGTTCAGTTTACAACAAAATGCCATGATATGGCCGCTTGTTGAGGAGTTCCCCAGCAAGTGGCTTTATCAAGGTATTTTGTTGCAATAAGATGGCTGCTGCAAGCTGGAAAAAGGGGAGAGGGGAAGGAGTCGTAAAAGGGACAGGGGGAGGAAAGTGCTTGGGGTTGGGTAGGGGAAGAGCTGTTTGCTGTTACTGGTGGGAAAACGGGGGTGCCTGGGGGCTGCCTTGGCAGATGGCCTTGGCACTAGGATGGGGAGGGGCTGTTTGCTCCTCCAGGCTAGAAAACTGGGGTGCCAGGAGTTGTGGGCAGGGGGAGAGAACATGTGTGCGAAGAACAACCAGCCCCTCCCCTACATGGTTCCAGGGTCATCTGCTAAGGTAGCCCACAGGTGTCCCAGTCTTCCTGCCCGGTGGAGAAAACAGCCCCTCCCCTACCCGTCCCCAAGCTCTCCTTCCCCTGTCCCTTCTGCAACCCCTTCCCCTCTCCCCTGGGCTGCTAGGCTTTCCTGCTGTTCCTGCTGCTTCCAGTGAGGTGGAGGGGGAAGGAGGGGGCGGGCATGGGCTTTTCAGCAGGGATCAGAGGCCTTGGGAGCAAGGCCTCTGCTGCTGCAATTAAGCCTGGCACTAAACCTTCCCCCTC